ACCGCGGACCAGCAAGCAGCCACGCTACAGGGGAGGGGAGGAGAGGAGCAGCGCAGCCGCCTGAGGCTCTTCACAGAGCGCTCAGGCGGCTGCAGCATTTAAAGGGCCGGCCCTGCAGCGGCCGGTCCCAACAGATTTTAGGGCGGCCTGGGGGGCAATTGCCTCCCTGCCCCCCGGCCCAGCCCGCCCCTGATTGCAGGTATAAGTTCTGCAATTTGAGAGGCGGCTTGTTTGTTAAACTGTGGTCATACAGAGGCAACAAAACGTAGGTAATACACTTCAATTACTTTGGTGTTACTGGACTGATTTATAAAGCATTGACACTATACAATTCCCACTGTCGGCCCTCGTGTGAATTACGGTGGAATAGTTAGTAGTCTCTCGTGATGACAAGTGAGGACAGTTCTGTTTGAGGACAGTAAGTTTTGTTCTGTTCTGTCTTTATTGAATTCTCCGTGGAGTTGTTGGTTGTCTCTTAGATCTTGTGAAGGGCGAGGCCGCTGGAGTTTTCCAGTTCGGTTTCTTCCTGCTTTCCATCTGCTGTCCTTGTGCACGTTGTTGCTGGGTCTGTGCTGCCTCCGTTTCAGAAAGATCATACCAGTCTGGTATTTCTACCGCCGCAGGCCGAGGCGTTTCGAGAATTCCTCTGCGTTCTCCGCTGTGGTGATTGTTGCTTGTACTCCTTGGTGAGAAGCATTTAGGGAGAAGGGGAACCCCAGCGGTATTTAATGCTCGCCTGTTGGAGAGCCTGTGTTATGAGTCTTAAGGCTCTTCTTCCTCTCAATGTTATCCAGGCGAGGTCTGGAAGGAGCAGTATTTTTATATTTTCAAATATGATTTCTGTTACTTCTCTGGCACACCTCATTATTGTTTCTTTTTCAGTATAATAATGCACTCTGCATATTACATCCCTAGGTGCTTCATGGGAGAGTCCTTTGGGTCTCAGTGCCCTATGTGCTCTGTCCAGGAGTATGTGGGTATTCTCAGGTCTTTGCAGAATTCTATTGAACAGAGTTTGGAGGGAATTGTGGAGATCCTCTGTGGGGCCTTGTGCCTCTGGTAGTCCCCTAATCCTTATGTTATTTCTCCTGCTCCTGTTGTCTAAATCTTCTGTATTTTTCATTGTGTATAAAAGTTTAGAGTCTCTAGCCACTTGATTATGTTCCAGTGTAAGGAGCCTTTCTAATATGTGGTCCCTATCTTCCTCTAAGTCCCCAACTCTATTGCTGACTTGCCTGATATCAGCCGCCAATGACGAGATCTTATCTTGGACTGAGGATTCTAGTTTTGCCAGCATGGATGCGATATCATCCTTGGATGGTAGGTTTTGCATGCTCACTGTCCAGAAAATGGGCATTCAACCCATGTTTTTCTGCATGCCAAGCCTGTTTATCCTTGTTTTACAAATAAAGTAAATGTTATGTAATCTCATATCACTATATTTTCTAATATTTGCTACCATTATTATGCTCTTTATCCAATTCAAGAGAATTTCTTTAAAGCTAAAGGTCAAATAATTGTCTGCATGTTCTCCTACATGATTTAAAACACCATATTAATTAGAGTCATGTGGGGAAGCTATGAAAGCGTCTCATGCTGAGCCCCCTGTTTCATTAAGTAAACTGGCACTAATATTCAACATCAATGATTTGTTTTAATATTAAAGTCTTCATAATCTATATTTGAACCAGCTTCTGATTTTGTGATATGTGCAAGTAGATTTTGAATTATACTTTATATTGTCGAATTATCCAGGCTCTGATTAAAAATGCAAACTAACTTCATGTAAAAAAGCTATGATTAACCATTTACAATGGGAGAAACCAGTGGCGTCTTTTAACCTGAAACAGAAATGAAAATAGAAAATAAATAATAGGATTGGTGGCCATATACTCCTTCTGTCAGTGTATGCATTTGAAAGACTTTACTGTAGTTTCCTCTGGATTGAACATGCACTGTGGCTATTAAATAGCTAGATATGTCCATGGGCAATGATTGCACATCAATCAGACCTCAGTGACATCACGCGTTCTTTTCCAAAGATTGATAAATGATAAGCATTGCTAGATCCAGAAAATCCAGAATGACGGGATAATTATTATTACGTTTATTTCAAATTGAAGGCTAAAGTAGCTGAACTGGTAAAAGGAGAATTTTTCTACTTTGACTATTTTGCACTTCAATTTGAAATCCCTTACAATTCTCGCTTTATTGAATAGCTCTGTGATTTTTTTTTGATTTTTTTCATGGAAGCAATTGAATGCATTTCTAACATGAATCAACACATCTGCTTATCTGAGGAACAGACTGAGTTTGAATTCTAAAATAGTTGGTGTAGGTTGAGATGCATTTTGGAAAATGGTTTTCCGGGTGTGAAAATTTAAAGGAATTTGAGGAAGAGAGAGTTTGGATGGAATTTGTGAGGATTTTGCACATTAGGAGAATTATGGTATATAACGTAATGTGAAAGGTAATGGGAAGAGTATACATATATATGGTAATCATTTTCTGTGTTACGTTATTAAATCCTATGATTGCTAGCTTTCCCGAGATCTAATACTAAACAATTTCTTTTTAATTCAGTTATTTATTTTATATTCTTTATTTTTGACTGACTGCCGTTACAGGAAATCACAGATAACATTAATCTTGTACAATGAGGGAAACACATATTCATCTTTAATACATAACTATTTGCGATGACCTACCAGTAGGAAAAACTGGATCATGTTCATCAATTAATGTACCTCAGAGTGAGCCTCTGTATAACAATTCCGAGGTATTTTTAATATAAAAGAGAAGAGAATGGATAGAAACAGAACCCTTCCATGCTACACCAGAGACCCCGTCATCTTAAATTAGCCACTGTTTGTGCACTCATGTGCTAAGTGTGTAAACCACTAAAAAAAAGTAACTAATGATCTTGAGTAGCATATATCCAGTCCCTACACTTCATGAAAGGGTCCGATGCAAAACAGAAGGGTAGGCAGAAAAAACAAATGGATAAGAAGAACAAAAGAAGGAAGGAAAAGTATGATCGCTGATGGCGCCACCAACTCAGACCAGGCCATGGTCTAGAGTGGCTGCACCCAGGGTAGGCGATCGGAACAAACCCATAGGTAGTTCCCCAGTCTCAATCCCCCAGTTTGCTAGTGTGCCAAGGCTCCCAATCCCCCAGTTTGCTAGTGTTCCAAGGCTCCCAAATCTTCGCAAAGTTTTGAGTTTCTCACCTGTGCTGTCAATTTGTTGATTAGACAATTTCCTTTATTTTGTCAATAACCATGGCAATCTAAAGGATGTTAGGTTTAAGAAAACAATATTGGGACATTGGGAAAGGGACTGACCCACTGAAATCTGACAATTGACAGCTGAAAGGACTGGAATTATGTTAATTTACACATAATGAATCCCAATACTCTGACATGTAACATTAAGAACTGTATCCAACATGTGATGAGTTCCTGAGATTCAGTAAATTAACACTCATTTTTCCTTGAAGTCAGATTTAGAGTTGTGATAATCAGGTTCTCTCAGTACTTGACAATCTTTTAAAATTCATCATAAACTACATTGATATATTCTTTGGCCGGCCTATTGAGCTTTGATCCATTTAATGGAGACCCATCTCTTTAGAACATATAAAGACTTTAAAATGCCCACTAAATAATTTATTCCAGACACAAACTAATCTGAGAGTAGCCAAATGCAATAAAGTTGTTCTCAAATTGTACGCAAGATTCAAGTGGACTTCTGGGATAATCAGTAAGGCAACAATATTAAAATGTTTTGTGTAGAAATAAATATAATTTTAAGCATTGGCTATGGCTAAATGACTTTTTCATATGAATACATATAATGATGTACAGCTATATTCAAATTTATTCCAATAAGATTTAGTATTCATCTCAAATTAACTGATTAACACAATGCATTATTTCAGGGTTCAGGTTTTTATACCTTATTTACATCTTTCTGAAGATGGTTTTATACAAATACAATATATATACAATATATAATCTCATCCCTGGAACTGCATGTGATGCTATAAACACCTGCTCCCCCTAGAGCCCTCGGTTTACCGTTTGTACAATGAAGGACAAGTCTCCTTGCCAGACCATGTAAAGTCACAGTGATCATGGCAAATTCTCGCTCCTCCTAAAAGGTCTATAATAATATTTACAGTGAGGAAAAACACATTTGATCCCCTGCTGATTTTGAATGTTTGTGCACTGACAAAGAAATGATCAGTCAATAATTTATTTTTTTTTAATTCTTTATTTTTGTCGTGCAGTGCATAAATATAAGCTGACAATGCCAAGCACAAATCTTGCATACAATCAATAGTGTACAGAAGTCTATCTGCCACTGGCTTTACATAGAAGCACATTTTACACTTTTCATTGTTATTTTAACGTTTAACCAGGTACTATGGCAACATTAACAGTCTCTTTAGCATAGTATAACTTGTTCTGATTTGTAGGTAGAGTACAGGGCTATCTGTACCTTTTTGCCTTATTTCGCATGCCCGGTATGAGAGGGTCATGGTATCTGATAAATAGAAAGTGTTAGTGGAGGTTAAAGAAATGGAATGAGAATAAAAGATGTAAGAAGAGAAGAGAAGGCGGAGTGGTCAGGCGCAGGCGGGCGGGAGGAGGGGAAGGGGACTGGAGGCGGCACGCACCGGGGTGCCCCCAGAGTCTTAAATGTTCAGTGGGCTCTTGTCCCACTGCTCCCATAGCCTCTGGAATGTTCCGGTAGACCCCCGCACCCTAGCAGTCAGGTCGTCCATTAACCTAACTTCTCTAATCCTTGTCATTACACTCACTATGTGTGGCATTTCTGGTTGTAACCATGTGAATGCTATTGCTTGCCTTGTGGCTAGGGTTATTTTGTGGATCAATTTTTGCTCCCTTCTTGTCCACCCTTCTATAGTTCTATTCAAGAGGTATACCCAGGGGTCTAGGTCCGGGGCTCTGGAGAACACCTGTGGCAGGAGATCCCTCAACTCCCTCCAAAACCTGGCTATCTTCGGACATTCCCACCACCCATGTAAGTATGTCCCTTTTTCCCCACACTCTCTCCAACAATCGTCTGTAGTGGTTTTGTTAATTTTAAATAGTTTGACTGGGGTCGTATACCAAAGCAACATCGTTTTAAAGGACTGTTCCTGCAATGTCACGCATACCTGATATCTGAACCTGTGCCCTGAGGTTACTGTACATAGCCCGTACTGCTGTGAGGTATTCCACAGGTAATCCCATAAGTTGTAGCAATGTGAATATATAATGCCATTTCACCCTATCAAAGGCCTTTTCTGCGTCTATGGAGACGGCCATGGTAGGTGTGTTCGCGATTGTTTGTTTCCATATGAGGTCAATGTTTCTACGGGTATTTTCAAACAATTGTCTCCCTGGGATGAAGCTGACTTGGTCTGCGTCTATTAAGGATGTCAAGTGAGGTGATAGTCAGTCTGCCTGTATTTTAGCTAAAAGCTTCATGTCATAATTAATGAGGGATATGGGTCTATAGTTACCAGGTAGTAGTGGATCTTTATCCGGTTAGGTAATAATACTGTGGACACCAGTGCCATGTCTGGGTCCGGTGTGCCATCCTCTCTGAAATTGTTAAAAAGCTTAAGCAATTGGTGTATCAGGTCTTCCTGAGAGGTCTTGTAGTATGACCCATCAAAACCATCCGGCCCAGGTGCCTTATTTCCCTTAAGTCCTGTGATAGCTCGTTCTATTTCTTCCTCCGTAATCTCTGCTGCCAATTGGTCTCTTGCCTCCTGTGAGAGTCGTGGTAGGCCTAGATCTGTAGAAAACCTGAGTATGTGGTCAGTCTCCCGTTCTACCACCTCTCCGTTGTTCGGTGTGTGGTTGTATAATGTTTTGTAGAAGTCCCGAAAGACCTCTGAAATTTCTCTTGGTGTGGTTTTCAGTGTTCCGTCCGGATGTCTCATGGATGTGATATGTGTGCGTCCCTGTCGGGGCCAATAGCTCCCTTATCTCTAATCGCCTCATTTCTACCTGTCTCAGGGTATCCCCAGTAGGTCCGAACTGATGTCTCTGTTCTGCTGTCTTGAGTTCGTTAAGGAGTCTACGCAGGGTTTCTGTTTTTTGTTTTATCTTGAGTGTTGCTAGACGTATAAGGGTACCTCTCACCACGGTTTTATGTGCGGCCCAGAGTGTGCTTACACCTATGTCCGGGGAATCATTAAGGGTAAAATATTCCACCACTTCCTTATGTATCTGTTCTCTGATCATAGGGTCTCGTAACAAGGAGGCGGTCAACCTCCACGACCAGGGGGTCGCTGCACATAGGTTACCCAAGGTGACCAATACTTCAGCGTGGTCAGACCACGTGATGGATCCCACAGCCGAGGCTGTGGTGCATGTGAGACAACTGTCATTGGCCAGGAAGAGGTCTATTCTCGAATACGTTCTGTGTGGGGCTGAATTGTAAGTTTAATCGACCATACTTGGGTATTGAGCCCTGCATACATCTAACAATCCCGAACGCAGTATGAAACTGTGCAACAGTTTGTCCTGTCCCCCTCTCCCCTGTGACCTAGGCAAGCCCCTAATGGGCACTTCTATCAACAGCGGGGCTCGGTGCAGCATTAAAGTCTCCCCGTACTAAAATCATGCCCCGTGGTAGAGCCTGGAGTTTGTCAAGTAGTGTGTCCCAATACCCCTGGTCTGGTTGGTTTGCGGCATATACATTGACTAGGTGTAGTATATGTGAGTAAAGATTCCCGAAATTATTATATATCGTCCTGCAGGGTCCGCGCCTGTTGCTGTGATCTGTAGTGGGCAGTTGTTTTTCAATAATACCGCAACCCCATTGAGCTTACAGTGTGTTCTGGCTTCGAAGGAAGCCTTGTAGTTGTGGTAAGTTTGAATCGTGTCTGTTTGGGAAGGTGGGTCTCCTGTACAAAGGCTATATCCGCCTTCATTCTCTTTAGTTCGCGAAAGAGGAGACGCCGCTTGGTTGGGGCATTCAGGCCTTTAACGCTCAAAGAGATAATATTCACAGTCATAGGGAGATAGTGTGGATGTATCGTGGAGCTTTCCCATTACTACCAACCTTGTCGGAGGTCTAGCCGGGAGGGGTCGAGTTGGGACATGTAAGCACGTGTGCGTTGAGGGGGTTTAAACCACCGTCAGTGGGGCACTCATTTTCTTCCTCTCATATCCGGACAGGCCCCATGTGGGGACAAGAAGCCTCTCAGATTTTATACCAGGCGAACCTTTGCAGCTATCGGATTCGGGACCCCGAGGGGGAAGGACAATCATTACCGTATGGAGCTATAGGGTATGCTCTTGTAAGTCGTGTTGCTGGGCCCCAGTATTGTTAGTACTGTATATGCTATGTAGGAGCATCTACCCTCCTTCCCCTTCTATCTAAATAACTCTTAGTTGGCCCCTGGACCCTAGCAATCTTGTGGTTACCTCACCAACCAGGACTCCCGGTTAGGATAGCCCCGTTAAGTAACAGCAACGGTTGTGGCAAGGGAGTAGTTAGTGTGAGGAGATATGAATCTAAAACCTTCACTGGGCACCATCTATTGTGCGTGGGATAGTAAGGGATCTGGACTAGCTGACCCAGTTGGCTAGTTTTGGTAACGGGTAGTGACAGGACGTAGTGATCCTGGTGCTTTACTAGATATGAGCTTATGAGGCAATTGAGTTATGCCGGCTACTGATGGTGAATTCCCGTGGTCTAAGGAATCCATAAAATGCCCGATAAATCGCGGTTTCGATGACTGTGTTTGTGACGTGTTCAAAATGGTCTGAATCTAGCAAATCGGACAGGTCTTTAAACAATTGCATTTTGATTGGTATATTGATCAGTAAACTCACTTGGTCCCCTATGGGGAGCACTGAAAATATACTCACAGGGTCTGCCTTCAGTGAGCTGGTGTCATGCTTATCCATTCCAGAGCTCCCTGATCCAGCGGCAGGTCAGACCATGCACTCTCTGCATATTTGTATGAAGTCAGGCTGACGTCATAACGGCGAGACTTTAAGTGCTGAACCTATTGGTACGCATGAACAGAAGCACCGGAGTTCAGCGTTCGGCCAAACTCAGGTCTTTAGGCACTCCAAAGTGATGCCGACCAATAGTGTGGGTTCCCTGGCTAAATAAGCCAGGGCTTTTCAGTAGCAATTTGCCCTGTTGTCATTCTTGATTACCCAAGATTGGGCTTTATAGTAGTTTGGACTTATTGTTACTGACTTTGGCTTGTTTTATTGTCTCTCCGCTTCCTGTGTTCCTGACATTGGCTTGTTTTTCTGTTAATGCTTTTCTCTCCTACGTTTGACCTTGGCTTTCTCTTTGACTACTTTTTACGTTAAATCCAGCCATTCTAAAGCCCGGTAATATGTTATTCTATCCCTTCAACAGATTAGGGTCTGTGTGTATTGGGTTCTTCTATCTAGCCATGACAGCCAGCCTGTATAATTGACAGACAGCCTGGCATGCGTTCACACCAGACTGACCTGCCATTAACTCTGGTGGACCTGTCCCATTCCACATGGGTCCACCGCCTTGGGACAGATCTAGTGACACAATCGCATAATATTACGCTCTCTTTGCCTCACAGGACACCACAGTTGTGAGGTATGAGATAGGGTGGAAGCTTTCTTGATTCACCAACTATTTGGTTTGTTACTTTTAACATACCATAATCATATACACAGGGTTATTTACTAAAGTCAGGAATTCAAAGGTAAAAAGTAGTCAAATTGAAGGAATAACTGACTTGGAGAATTCTTCCAGTTAAGCTATTTTGGCCTGAAATTTAAAATTCACCTTGAATTCACTTTGAATTCCTGACAAGCCTCACTTTGCTTAGAGGGACACTATAGTCACCAAAACAACTTTAGCTTAATGAAGCAGTTTTAGTGTATGCACCTATAGTCTCACTGCTCCATTCTCTGCCATTTAAGAGTTAAATCACTATTGTTTCTGTTTATGCAGTCCTACCTACATCTCCCCTGTCTGTGACTCACACAGTCTGCATGAAGAGGCATCTGGAAGATCTAGCAAGCTATTAACAGTGCAGGCAAAATAACATTCTAAATTAAAAAAGACTCTGCAATAAAGGAAGTATAAATATTAGATAAATCTTTGCAGGAAGTGGCTGTGCAAGTCACATGCAGGGAGGTGCGACTAGGGCTGATTAAACAATGTGATTTTACTCTTAAATGGCAGCGTATTGAAAATTGATACTGCAGGAGCAAGATCTATACACAAAATCTGCATTATAATGCTGTTTTGGTGACTATAGTGTCCCTTTAATAACCATGACAGTGTGAAGGTACATTACAGATTATTTGAATTACATGATTTTGATCTCACTCATATGTAATTGATAGATGATCAATGGCTTATTTTTTTGCCACACATCATACACACTATACACACACACACACTGCATACACTATACACACATGCAGCATACACACTATACACACACACAGCCTACACACAACACACACACACTGCATACACACTATACACACACACACTGCATACACACTATATACACACACACTGTATACACTACACACACAGCATACACACTATACACACACACACTGCATACACTACACACACTGCACAGTGGTGTATCCTGGTTTTGTGCTGCCCTAGGCAGGACACAACTCAGGCACCCCCCACGCCACCACCGCCAAACCCTTCCCCCCGCCCCACCTTCTAAATACACACACACAAACAGTCAGACACACACACACACAGTCAGACACACACAGTCAGACACACACGCAAACAGTCAGACACACACACACACACACAGTCAGACACACACAGTCAGGATACACACAGTCAGACACAGTCAGACACACACACACAGTCAGACACACACACACACACACACACACACAGTCAGACACAAACACACAGTCAGACACAAACACACACACAGTCAGACACAAACACACACAGACACACACACATCAGACACAAACACACACAGTCAGACACACACACGGACACGACACAAACACACACACAGACAGACACACACACAGTCAGACACAAACACACACACAGTCAGACACACACACACACACACACACAGTCAGACACACACACACACAGTCAGACACAAACACACACACAGACACACACACACAGTCAGACACACACACACACACACACAGTCAGACACAAACACACACACAGTCACACACACAAACACACACAGTCACACACAAACACACACACACACAGTCACACACAAACACACACCTTTGGGAGTGTTGGGGGGGGTTCCTCTTTCTCCCTGGTGGTCCAGTGGCTGCCGGTCGGGCTGATGGGCTGGCTACTGGGCAGGCGGCTGGCGAGGGAGCTCTTCTCTGAGCGGTCTGCTCAGCTCCCTCGCGCGCCGCAGAGTGAGGCTGGGAGCCGGATTGATGACGTAGAGCTCCCTCGCCAGCCGCCCGACCTGCAGCCAGCGCCGCCCACCCAGCCCGGCATGTCTGTTAGCCGCGAGGCTAACTAGGCATTTGCCCTGGGCATTTGGGGGGCGGCGTTTTTTGCCGCCCCCTGAAAAATGCCACCCAAGGCAAATGCCTTGTTTGCCTCGCGGCTAATACGTCCCTGACACTGCATACACACTATTCACACATACTGCATATACTACACACACACACGGCATACACTATACACACTGCATACACTATACACACACTGCATACACTATACACACACACACACTGCATACAGTACACAAACACATACACTACACAAACACACACTGCATTCAATAAACACAATTATACCTGTGTATCTGTGTGTGTCTGTATGTGTGTATCTGTATGTGTGTCTGTGCCTATGTGTCTCTGTACATGTGTGTCAGTGTGTGTCTGTAAGTGTGTGTGTTTATATCTATATGTGTGTTCATATCTGTTTGTCTCTATCTGTACGTGTGTC